CGCCACTTGAACTCCTTAAAAAAAAAAAAAGCCAGAAACTACAAAATAGTCAGGTTTTGCCAATATCTACTTTATCCAGTTGTCACTGTTGTTGCTAGATGTTATCCAATAAAAAAACATATTCTGAAAACATTTAGCTGGTTAAAAAAACAAAAGGTACAAGAAGAAAAGAATGTTCAAAAGCAAAGATTCTAAAATCAGATTTCCTGGGTTTGAATTCCAGTTCTGCCACTTACTATGTAACTTTAGGCAAGCTACTTTACCTCAGATTTTTTCATCTTTAAAATTAATTCAGCAAACAGTGAATATACCATGGACTGTCGAAAGAACAAAAAAATATGTCCTGGAAGAGACAGAGCCAGAGTGATGCTTAGAAACAAGGATGATAAGATTTTCTTTCAAAAACCCTGGCTATGTTATTAGGAAGGGTCAGAGTCTAGAGATGGACATCACATTTGGAAAGGTACAGAGTAAATGAAGCAGATCATCAAGAAGGTAGACAGACATGGAAATGCAACAGTGGACACATTGGAGATTGTGAGGACAGCACAGGATCAGGGTTTCATTATGTTGTAGACAGGGTCTGTAAGTTGGAGCTAACTCAACAGCACCTAACAACAACAGTACCTACATCAGAGAATAATTCAGTAAACACCACAACAAGATAAAGGTAAACAACCCAATTGCAAAATGGACCCAGGATATGAACAGACACTTCACCAAAGACATTCAGATGGCAATCAAACACATGAAGAAATGTTCAAAATCCCTAGCTCTAAGAAAGATGCAAAACAATTATGAGATATAATCTCACCCCAGTAAGAGTAGGAAATTTCAACAGAGCAACAAATAACAAATGCTGGAGAGGTTGTGGAGAAACTGGAACCCTTACTCACTGTCGTTGAGAGTGTAAAATGATGCAACCACTATGGAAGGCTGTATGGCGCTTTCTCAAAAAGTTGGAAACAGAAGTATCACTTGACCCAGCAATTCCATTATTGGGAACATACCCTAAAGAAACCATAAATGCCACTCAAACAGATATATGCACACCCATGTTTATTGTGGCTTTGTTTACAATAGCAAAGAGTTGGAATCAACACAAGTGCCCATCAACAAATGAATGGATAGAGAAGCTCTGGTATATTCACACAAAGGAATACTATGCTGTATTGAAAAACAAGGAATTCATGAAATATTATACAAAATGTGTGACCCTGGAGGACATTATGCTGAGTGAAATATCTCAGTCACATAAGGACAAATACTGCATAATGCCACTATTATAAAACAGAACTGACATCAGGGTTGGGGGGAAACTAAGAAAAGAGGGGGAAAATAATGTACAGTGCATTGAAACAGATGAGGGAGGGAAGTGTTTAAAAGGAATATATGATTAGGTATTATGTGCATGACAAGAGTCCAGAATAAAAACTGCATAGTAAAGTAGATTAGAGGTGGGAGTAATTGTGTAACAACGCAGTAATTTTTTTTTTCTTTTCAAAGATAAAAGTGAACTGGTAGGGGAAGGGTGGGCAGGGAGAAAAATGTGCAACAATGAATAAATGGATATCCAAGTTCTCTATAAACTTTCATTAAAATATCAATTTGAAAAAACAGAATAATTCAGTAAAATAACTTATAAGCACTTTATACTGCCTGGGCCATCGTGCTCACTCAACTTATTGCTATCAAACTGGAACCAACTCACAGCTGACTGTGGATTTTCAGAGGCCTGTAAATTGCATGGGAAGAGACCACCCATCTTTCTCCTGAACAGAGATGATGGATTCTAACTGGATGCCTCTGGGTTGGCAGATAAGCTTCTTATCCATAAGTCACCTGAGCTGCCTGGCACATGGCAAGTTTTTGGTGTATGTTTGTTTTTATTATTATCTTTTTAAAGTAAGTAGACTCATCAACAACTGCATTATGCAGATGACACAACCCTGCTTGCTGAAACTGAGGAGGACCTGAAATATTTGCTATAAAAGGTCAAGAACTGCAGCATTCAATATGAATTAAGGCTCAATATTAAGAAGACAAAGATTCTCACTACTGGACCAATTGGCAGCATCATGATAGATGGTGAAGTGATTGAGTTTGTTAAGCGCTTTAGTTTGCGTGGCTCCATAATCAACACTCTTGTTACCAGCAGCCAGGAAATCAAAAGACGAACTGCATTGGGAAAGTCAGCTGTCAGGGACCTCTCCAAAGTACTGAAGAGCAACGACGTGCCTGATCCAGACCATGGTCTTCATAATTACTTGCTATGCATCAGTAAGCTGGACAATGACCAGGGATGACTGATAAAATTGATGCCTTTGAGCTGTGGTGCTGGAGAAGAGTATTGACATAGACTGCCAGGAGAACAAATGGGTTCATCCTGGAGAGGGTAAAATCAGGCTGCTCTTTGGAGAAAAGGATTCTGATGCTTTACTTGACATATTTTCGGCATGTTGCAAGGAGGAACCAGTCCTTGGAGAGGGACATCATACTTGGAAGGGTGGAGGGACACCACAGGAGAG